GTGTTTATTTCTTCCATAGTTTAGACGAACTTAAACTCCCTATTAGCAAATAATCTTAGTTAACTTAACGACGAACCGTTTAAGTTTAACAACGTCATTTTGATGAAGAAAGAATTAAGTCAGTTATCTCCCTTACCTTTGGTTAATCCTTTGAGTAATCAAGCTCCTTTGGTAGCTCGCCCGATTCTCGGTATTCTCCTCCAATTGCAGAACTTCGCCCGATTCTTCCTAGACTCGCTCTATTGCTCCTCCATTTCTTCCTTCAATTCAAGGTCCAGTTCCAGGAAGATTTTGTGTTAACGACATTCAAATTTATTTGGGTGATTTAGTCGACCACATGATCAAAATTTTCGTTCTATGTTAATTTCAGCTGGAACTATTATCGAGATTTATGCGATAATATTTTGGACCATCACGCTGGACACCTGAATTTTTTGAATTTTTTGTTAATAAAATGGCTTTATAATTTTAACTTTTTTTCATTTTTAAATGCTTCATATTTTTGGATTTTTATGTTGAATTAAGATGTGCGACGATAGTAACATTATTTGATGCTGGAATTTTTAAATTTAAAAAATAATAAAAAATACATACCTCTTACTTCTAAGTAATTGAACCCAAAGAGGAAACTATAAATGAATAAAAATGTAAAAGACTTCATTCGAACCCTAATAAAATAAATAAAAATATACCAAAAATATCTAATATAAGAAAATTTTTAAAAAAGTTAGAAAACATCAATGCAGTCCAAAAGAAAATAAAGGATGAAGAAAGAGCTAATTGATGCAATTATCCAAAGCGTTGGAAAAGCATAAAAAAAAAAAATCTAAATCTTCAATTTAAGATTTTAACAGAACAAGTACATACTGTACATCATTTTATTTTTATTATATTTATATTTTAAAGTTTTATCACTTTTATAATATTCATGTAAATTATTTCTGGAACTTATGAATAAAAATTTCTGATTAAAATAAACAGAATTTGCCATAACTTAAATTAGGAATCAGAAGAAATTATTTTCTTTAGTTCTTTATGCTAAATGTTTAGATTTATGGGTTTTAACCATCAAAGGATTCGTGATTCAAAAAGAGGTAAAATTTTAGTGCACTTAATAAGATTGGCTATACCTTAAAAAAATTCTACTCTTACTAATGTTGGTATTCCGATCATTATTTTAAAAATTTTAAAAGCAAAAATAAATAATGAAGAATGTTAGAAACATCATATAATCATTACACTATCAAAATAAAATTAATTAGCATACCAACATGAGGCGCTTATGCCGATTCTTTAAACTTATGGGAATATATTATAATATATAAGTATCATCAAAGTCTATTTTTATACCTTAAGATATACCATTCATTAATTAATTACTATACAATCTATAGATACTTAGTATGTGCAATTAAATAAGGTTATTGAAGAGAAATTGTGAAATAGTTTAAATGACAGCGAAATATTTATAAAGTAATATCTAGTTAAATTTATATAATGTATATTACATTAATCAGGATCGAGATTTTTAATTATGTTATATTATCATAAACGAAGATTCAATATTGAAGCTCAAATTTATCGAATATCTCATTATTACAAGATCTTGCAACGTCATTAATATCATCATGAAATAAATTTCATTCAATTATAATCGGTGAATAATCATTGATATCGAAATATAACTTGAGCAATAAAAGAAAATAATAGCTCCAAAATTCCTCAATAAACGTTTTCATATAATCCTCCGATGTTTCCATCACCACATTTATGTTTTTCCTCCAATATACCGTACGTTATTAACCAAGTCATTATATTAGTAAGATGTAATTATTAAAAAAAGGAGATAATAATAAAATGATAAACCAAACCGGAATTCCTGTATATTATGCATATGATCCAAAACCAATCGTCAATCAATAACTAAATAATAAAAACCATCTCGCATTCCAGTCTATAAAATAACAGCATTTCCATCATTCAATGGAGTGGGGTTTCTGATGAATTAATAGTAAATCAACCCCGAATTACCTGTTTCATATTCCAATTATCAATAATCCAATCATCTTTCAACTTAATAATCTCACGTAATTATCAAATGAATCTACTCTACGTAATCATCCAATTCGCTCTAACTCTTCAACATGAAGTTTTCAATATCATTTCATTCGATTGTATATTAGTAAATGCTATTTATAAAAGACAATAATAATAGTGAATCAAACCGTGTTTCCTGTAATTTATTCTTAAAGCCACTCAAATTTTTTCTAATCATCCAGTAAAATATAATAAATATATCAATAACCATTTCATGATCCGGCGAGTTATTTTCTATCATTCACGCACGACAATTATTATTTCAGATAAGCATCGATCATCCCAGCAAAAATCCAGTCTTCAAAAATATGTATGAGATTCAATAAACCCATCCTCATTAATATACATCAACTTATTGTTAGATTTGCATTATCACATGATTATAGATTATCCAGTCATTAGATTAAATGCGTTAGTAAGTATAAATAAATTTAAAACAAACAACAACTAAGAAATAGCAAACCCAGTCCAACGAAAATTTATCAATCATCCTTAATATTACTCCAAATTCTCACGATCCATTATTAATTATTACCGATAAGCTAATGATTATTCCAGTAAGTTTAATCCAAATGTACTCCATATTATCCAGTCCAGTCAATTAAATTAGACGCGTCAACAAAGTATAAAAAAAATTAAACAAAAAATAATTAAGAAAGCTAATCCAGTCCATCGAAATCTTATCAATCACCCTTAATATTCTCTATATTTTATCGAGCATTATAATATAATTAAAGATAAGCCGTTGATTAAAGTCAAATACAGCCTTCAATAAATTTATTATTGTTAAATTTCCATTATCGATTGATTTTTAGTGTATCCAGTCCAGTAATTAAATTAGACGCGTTAGTAAGGTATAAAAAAAAATTAAAACAAAGAAACAAACAAAGAAATAGCAAACCCAGTTCATCGAAGTTTTATAATTCATCCTTAATACTTCTTCATAATAGCTAATTATAAATTTAATTTTGTTCAATATCACCCTCAATATTTCTACATTATTTAACTAACTATTATAATCAAAGGCAAGCCATCGATGATTCCAGACAAATTCATCTATATAATATTTACTATGAAATCTAATTATCATCTCATTCCAACGAAATTTTATCAATTATCCTTAATATTTCTACATAATCTCACGATCCATTATTCCAACAAGACAATAATAATTTCTAGTCAAATCAAGTCTACAGAAAGCTTATATAAATTCCATTTTCACATGATGATAGCGTTATCCAATCCAATTATTAAATTATACGCATTAGCAAAGTATAAAAAAATTTAAGATAGTTTATCAAGCCATTTTCATTACGGATAAGCCAGTGATCATTCCAGCCAATTCAATCTACAGATAACTTACTATAAATCCAATTGTCATCTCATAAATGATAGTCCAGTCAATTATATTATAAATAAATTACACAAAAATAATTAAAAAAGCAAATCCAGTCGACCGAAATCTCATTTACAACTCTCCATATTTTAATGACCATTATAATTAAATATAATCCAATTAAATACAGTCTACAGAAAATATACTATGAAATTCAATTATATTCAATATCACCTCATTATATTATATCGATTGAATTATAATGAATCCAGTACAGTTAATTAATTAGAAGCGTTAGTGAAGTATAAAAAAAAATTAAAACAAAAAAACTAAAACAAGATATAGCAAACCCAGTCCACAGAAATTTCATTCATCATTGATCCATCAAATCATATCACGATACAATTATAACGACATACTTGAAAATGGATTATTCCAGTCAAATCCAGTTCGCCAAAAGTCTCTCAAAATTATTATGAAATACCCAATATATTACAATTACCCTCATGTTACCTATTAGATTGGTATTTTGTCATCATACACGTCAAAAGTGCCATCCAGTCCAATCATTGATTACAATTAAATACATTAGTCCATCATTTCAAATACAATACAGTACATCATCATTTATATCATGTCTTATTATAACACAAAAACCGTTGATGATTCCATAAGCGTTATCCAGCCCAGACAATGTAGTTAGATGCATTAGTAAAGATATAAACAAATTAAAACAAAATAATAAGAAAGGCAAACCCGGTTCACAGAAGTTCAAAATATTTCATTACTATTCACGGTCCAAGGGGGTGTCTATTCCAGTCAAGAAAATTTAGCACGTAAGTATAAATGATGCGTAAAACAAAGAAAAAGCAAACCAATCCATAGTATAATATTTATATAAACAGCTCGTCGGTGATCGAAGAATGGAAAGCGAGTAAGAATTTGATTGGATGACCTATTTATTTATTTATTTATGGTTACGTTTTTGCCGATCATTCCTGCTTAACTCGTTTGATCAATCAATGGTATCTAAGATTTTTGAAATATCTGATATGATCTATAGATTGCTTTAAAATTCCGATTTTTTGGATAAAAACCAACTCAGCATATAATAATTATTATATTTTCTTTATGTTGTCATACTTTTTTTAAAAGGCTCGATAGCTTTTATTTATTAGTAATGGCTCGCAACAAAAATACAAAAAAAAAAGAAATCAGAATTATTTATTTGCTAAAATGCCAATTATTACTAAACACGAAATAATTAGGTCTGGAAATTATCTGATATGAGTATATCAATATTACTGTAACTCGAAATCATGCGATATAAGACCGAAAATCACATTTAATGTAAGAACGAAACTGTTATAAATTGATACTGATCTCAAATACATAGCAGAGTATTCGAAATTTACTAAGCAAATTCTAAACAATTGGTTTCAAGTAAACACTCCCTCACAGCACTATATATAATATTATTTTCAAGAATTGTTTATGTAATGTATGTAGGACACAATTTTAGACAGCAGGGTGGACATACTTATATCACATGTCGATCATTTTGCCGATCATATTTTGTATTATCACATCAGCGTTTGC